TCGAGACTTAACTGAGCTCAGACTCCGCTCTCGCCCTACAAAACGGGAGGCAGCCCTGGGCTCAAGGATCTTCTGAGCTCAGGGCTGTCTCCTGGGACAGCATACCAAACACCCCTTATCAATCATTAGCTAAGTGTGAACTCTCGAAACCCTGCTTATAGCAGGCACAGTAGAAAGTGTTCTCTTATGCAGCATACACGATTAGCACAAACAGCTTACAACAAATAGTTTGCATGGTTAGTGCAGAAAACCTTGAGATCAAACACTGATTCATACATTCTGCATTAAGACATAGACTGGTGTCAGGGAGGGTACTGCCACAAATACATAATGTATTCAAGACTTTTCTTTGGTTCCTTGCCACGAACACTGATGGTACCATCAGTTTTTTTGGCAAGATTTCATGTACTTATATGTCCATATGTATAACAAGACTAATGAGAAAGCTAAGCCTTGGTGGACACAGGCCAGTGGTGGGCAAATTTAACCCAGCAGAGGTCCAATCTTAAAAATATTTGATCAAACTGCTATAAAAATCTCATCTGCGTGTAGCTTTCTATTAGATACTAAACCTGGATTTGTTTTTTTCTGCTGTTTGATAAAGGTTGGACTGGAACTCTGCAGGATTGTGGCTCTCCAGGACAGAACTGGTCAATCCCTGACATAGGCAGGATATAATTAAGATTTTATAAAAGTACTAAAATATTTAAAGCTACTTAAAATTAAGAAAAGTGAATTTATCTAAGTAATTATAACAAAATTAATTCGGACAGGCAGCAATGCAAGTATATTTGGGTAATATGCTTTTGGAGCAATGTTTATTTAGAACTTAATCAGCCAATTAAAATGGTCTCTAAGATTCAAGTGGCAAGTTTATTTGCAGCAAAGTGAACGTCTAGGTTATATGTCAGCACTTTATTGTGTACATTTCAGCTTCTAGTGTAAATCGATGTGGGTGTTTAGATATTTTCTTTACACACAAATGTTTTCTAGTCCTGCTGGTGTAATAACTATAACATCTGTACTGGTGTCTACAGTAATTTAGCTAAGTGTGTGTGTGTGTGTGTGTGCATACATATATATATATATATATATATATATATATATATATATATATATATATATATATATATATATATATATATATATATATATATATATATTAGAGTGCAGGTGTGTTAATGTTAGTCCATGTGTGGGGACAGAGGAAGAACTCGTTCAGTTAGCCAAATCATACAGTATTTCTGCACCTAAATATGACACCTAAGGTGAGCTTTATGAAGCTGAAAACAGACATCTTATTAAAAAAAATCAAAATAAAACACTAGCAGAGAGCCCTGTTTTACCTCCTCCTGGAGTTTTGGTACAGAGCCATCCACAATTGCCCTCACAACCTGCATGTGGGCAAAAGCTCAAAAACCTCCCGGAGCAGCCATTAAGCCAAATGGTACCACTCCCCCCTGTGACAAGCCTCTTTTAAGAACACTTCAGCCTTATAGAAAGCACTGTAATTTGAGAGCATGCATCTCCGCAGGACACATCTGAGCTGTGGATGCACTCCTGAAGCACTCAAGCCATGCTTTTCATTTAGTTTTGGCTTTTTGGTGCTAAAATTTTGTTGTGGTTTTAGTCAGTCCTTTCTTCAGAGTCTACTACAGGGGGACATGCAGAGAAGGCAAGGGAGGTAGCGTCTCCTCAAAAAATTGGATGAGAAGACACGTGTGAGTAGTGTACTATCACATGGGAAGCGAGACTTGTGCCAGTAGTATACTATGGTGAGGAAAGCAAGATTTGTGCAAATAGTATACATTGACTAGCGATGTGAGACTCATGTGAGATGTGAGATAGCGATGTGAGATGTAGGGGAGACTCGTGCGAGTAGTATGCTGTTGTGTGCAAGTAGGGAGGCTAGGCACACACGTCAGTAGCATAGTATGACACAGAATGTGAGAACTGTGCATAAATAGCATACTATGACAAGATAAGTGAGACATCTCGGACTAGCATGCCAGGACAAGGAAGGTGAGCCTCGTGTAAGTAATATACTATGACTTGGGGGACAATATGGATGTAACCATACTATGGCAAGAGAGGAAAAACACGTAAGTATCATACTATGATGAGAGACTCATGCTCGTAGTGTATTTTGGCAAGAGAGGTGAGACACTTGTGGCTTGCGTATTACGGTGTGGGAGGCAAGACACATGCAACAAGTACTATGGTGAGGAAGCCATTATGTGTGCTAGTAGTATACTATGACAAGGGAGACATAATAATTATTCTAATAATTCTAATAATAATAATTATAATAATAACAGTTCTATACATTTAAATAGCGCTTTTCTGGACACTCAAAGTGCTTTACACATTTTTAGGGGGGAATTTTTTTATCCACCAAAGGAGGCGAGACACTTTAGAGTAGGGTACTGTGGCATGGGAGGCAAAAGACATGCAAGAAGTATACTATGGCGAGGTAGCCAAGATGCATGTGAATCGTATATCATGGTGAGAGAAGCAAAATTTATGCGAAGAGTATATTAGGACCAGCGAGAGACAAGGCATGCATGAGTAGCATACTATATCAAGTGAAGGGAGATTCATCTGCGAGTAGCATACTAGGACAAGGAAGTTAGAGTAATATACTATGCGAGGGAGTCAAGATGCACACAAGCAGCATACTATGGCAAGAGTGGTATTACATGTGTGAGAGTAGCATACTATGGCTTGGGAGACAAGATGCATTTGAGCATACTATGGCAAAGGGAGGCAAGACGTGTGCATGACTAGCATATTATGGCAAGAGAGACAAAACTCAAACTCGTAGTATATAATGGCGAGGGAGGCGAGATACTTTCGAGTAGGGTACTGTGGCCTGAAAGGCAAAAGACATGCAAGAAATATATTATGGCAAGGAATCCAAGAGGCATTTAAGTAGAATACTATGGTGAGAGAGGCAAGACTTGTGCAAATAGCATAGTATGACAAGGGAGAGACAAGACCTGTGGATGACTTGTATACTATGATGAAAGAGACAAACTCAAGCTTGTATATACTATGACAAAGGAGGTGAGGCACTTTCAAGAAGCATAATGTGGCATGGGAGGCAACACACATGCAAGAAGTAAACTATGACAAGTTAGCCAAGATGCATGTGAGTTGTATATCAATGTGAGGGAGTCGAGACTTGTGCAAATAGTATATTAGGACCAGGGAGACACAAGGCATGCATGGGTAGCATACTCTAGCAAGGGAAGGGAGATTCATCTGCGAGTAGCATACTAGGACAAGTACGTTACAGCAAGACATGTGCATGAGTAGCATACAATGGCATGTGAGGCAAAATGCATTTCAAAATACTATGGCAAGGGAAGAAAGACACTCTCACTTCTGCAGATCTATGTGCCCTCCAGAAACTTGCGTTCTGTGAATGGATGTCGCCTCGTGGTTCCATCCCAAAGAGGAAAGAAATCACTTTCATGAACGCTCACGCTCAATCTGCCCAGTTGGTGGAATGAACTCCCTAACTGCATCAGAACGGCAGAGTCACTCGCTATTTTCAAGAAACGACGAAAAACTCAACTATTTAGTTTCCACTTCACTTCCTAATCTGCAATTGCCTCTCTGGATGTCAAACTAATTGTCCCCCCCCCCCCCCCCCAAAAAAATTCTAATACTTTCCTTCTTAGACTTTACAGACCTGAAACTTGCCTATAGCACTTATTCATTGTTGCTCTTATAGTTGTGTAAGCTGCTTCCTTGTCCTCATTTGTAAGTCACTTTGGATAAAAGCAACTGCTAAATGACTAAATGTAAAATGTAAATGTAATGTAAATGCATGATTAGCATACTATGATATGAGAGGTGACACCTGTAGTATACCATGCAAGATAGTCAAGATTCAAACAAGTAGCATGCTCTTGCAAAAGTGTCAAGATGGCAAGACTATGGCTTGGGAGACAAGATGAATATGAGCATAATATGGCAAAGGAGGCAACACAGGTGTGTACTATGACAGGAGAGGTGAGACTTGTGGTACTTGTATATACTGGTAAGGGTGTATAGGCACTTGCAAGTGGCATACTGTGGCATAGGATGTGAAACACATGAAAGAAGTATACTATGGCGAGGGAGACCGGATGCATGACAGTAGTATACTAAGGCAAGGGAAGGGAGATTCATCTGCGATTAGCGTACTAGAACAAGGAAGTTAAAGAAATATACTATGCAAGGGTGTAGAAATTACGACAAGTAGCATACTATGCCAAGGGTGGCAAGACATGTTAGTAGCATACTATGGCATGGAAGATAAGCATGTGATGCATTTGAGGATACTATGATGAGGGAGATGAGATGCTTTGGAGGCAGGACAAATGTGCAAGAAGTTAAAAATTTCTCAACGATTTTAAAAGCCTATGTTAGGGCACATTTTGCTGCTTGTAAGTTTGCTCTCTGAGTGACAGAACGCAATGTTGAACATGTTATTAGTGCTTATTTGATGTTTGATACATTCAATAAGTGTGTTTTCTTTGAGCAGCTAAATGTTTCAGTTCATATACCTGACTGATTGTATGTAATGGTAAAATTGTATACATGAAGTAAAACTGAAAACTGAGCAAGCAGTGCATTGTGACGCATCAAGATATTGAATTAAACTGAATCAATGACATGATCATCATAATCGAACTGAACCATGAGACCAGTGTAGGTTCACACCCCTCGTAATAAATAACCTACATGACTCAGAAATAGCATTAGCATTCCAACAAACATATCAATCTTTACCAAAGTCTACTGATTACATCTGAGGATGTGACCTGTGACGCAAAAGCTTCAGCAAAGCCTATTGAAAAGGTTGTGGTGACTCAACTTCAGGCCACGTCTGCAGGGAAACAGCCAGACTGTATAGATCAATAGTGGAGCTTCACAGATTATGTCCATTGATTTTAGCATGCAGACCGCAGAGCATGACTGAGATTGTAAATGTCGGATTGTGCTTGCAGGAGCTGAGGGTGCAGTGTTCAGCAACTCAGTGGAGACGCCACACGTGAGGGCCGAGCCGTTCAAAGAGTTACGGTAAGACAATTTTAGAAATTATGATATCATTGTTGAATTATATTGGATATATTCCAAGGTGACATTCCAACTAATATATTTAGGTTTACTGACCACATTGCAGGTGAAAACTGACAATATTAAAAAGACTTTTACCATTAAAAGAAGAAAATGCCAAAATGATAGAAGCTCTTAAAACAAAAAAAGTTATTTATATATGCATTCATTAATTTTCTTTCTCAGTCTCTTTATTAATCTGGGGTCGCCACAGCAGAATGAACCACCAACTTAACCAGCATATGTTTTACGCAGCGGATGCACTTCCATCTGCAACCCATCTCTGGGAAACATCCATAAACACTCTGTCACGCTCATACACTACAGACAATTTAGCCTACCCAATTCACCTGTTCCGCATGTCTTTGGTATGTGGGGGAAACCGGAGCACCCGTAGGAAACCCACGCGAACGCAGGGAGAACATGCAAACTCCACACAGAAATGCCAACTGACCAAGCCAAGGCTCGAATCAGCGACAGTGCTACCTACAGCACCACCGCGTCACCATAGTTAATTAAATACTTCATATTCTATTCTGTACATTAATTCTGTTATGTAACAAGACTTTTGTCTTAGCAAAATCAGATTTTACTGTTCTAATTAAATAATTAAAAATCAAGGCATGATCATATATTATTTGGGTGAAAAAGGCATAATCTACAGGCCTTTGCCTTTCATATAAGCCACTTCTGATACCAACTGATCAACTACAAGTCAAGTTATTATTTGTTGTTCCCCAACTTTGGATAGGCGACAAGACTTTTGTCAGGTAGTCTATACTGATAGGCTAAATCTGCTGGTTTTAAAATGCGTCCTTTTTAGTAACAATCAACCATTAACAACTGTTTGATCGATTAAAAGGATCAAATTTATATTAATAATACATATTATTATCGTTTATTATTATTTTATTTTAAAGAAACAAATCAGTGAAAACTATTTCACAAACCCGCCAAAATTTATTTATTTTTTATTAATGAAATAAATAAATACTTACATGCGGTCATATTAGCAGAAATAAAATGCTGATTCCTAAATCAAAATGATGTTTTGAAGTATTTATGTGTGTGTTTGTGCAAGCTTTTGAAGAATTCTAAATGATTGAACACTTCAGGATTCTTACTTAAAGAAGCTTTTTTTCCCCTTTGGAATATACTGTTTATAGATCTGCATCTGCCAGCATTATCCAAATCATTAACAACAAGCCCTTCACCAAAGTACAGCTGCAGAAGAAGCCACATTCAGAGATGCGCTATCAAGCTGCATAGGGAGATGATTGCACGTCGATTGCAATTTCCCACACAGAGCGTAATGATCAAAGATTGCGAGGGGAAAAAAAATGATTCTTTTCCAGCTTGCACTACACGTGTCTCTGTTGAGAGCTACAAAAGGAGGGAAATAAAGCCTGACATTTGTGCAAATTCCACTTATCCCTAAATTTAGGTTTTTTACCTTATGCGTCTTGCTGACAGCAGATTATAGAGCACCTCTGTAAGCTTTTTCCGAGAGCAGAGAGGAAGGGTGGGCCCGATTCGGATTACCGTTTTTTAAATGCTTCACTAACAGTGGTAATGACAGTCACAAGGAAACAGGAAGAGGAAACTGAGAACTTATCCAACGCAGCTTATTAAAGAAACTCCTGAATGGAGGTTTAGTACAGACTGTTGTCAGCACTTTTGCATCTAAAGACACTAGTAAAACAGAAAGGATGTCAGTTCTATATTATTTTAATGGCTTTTGATTGGTTTGAATGCAGTTGATGTTTTCTTCGAAGCTATCGGAGGCAGTCACACCATTGTCTAAACTCAGACAAATGTTTCATATTATTGCAGGCTTGCGAAATGCAATCAGATACATTGTTCTGCGGTTATTATTGGTCAGTGTAGTAGCTGGAAAAGATAAGAGTTATACATTAGACCAATGTCATTGTCATGTAATAACGCTGCAGATAAAAATCCCAACTCCTCCAATATGCCGCTTCCGAAGAGCAAGCCACGCATTATGAGAGTTCTTGAGGGTGTAATTTCTCTGAAAGCTTTGAGCAATTACAGCCAATTTAAGTGTCATTTTCTGCTTTTGTCGCACCAAATGTCACAACAAAATATGTCTCTGGCCTGTATGTAGTATCTGAGGCGTGTTTGGAGAAAGTGCTGGCACTGTAAAGTACAGTTTACGCATTGTGAAGCTACTCATTAAGACCACGGCAGTGTCTTGTATACATGGAGACAAAGGAAGATCAATGTGCGTGTTCCTGGCGCCACCTTCTCTTGGACGCGAGTGCTTTCCTGTCCTGATCGATGCCTGGATGCTCATCAAAATCTAATTAAAGTAGATTCTCATTAACTAAAACAAACACGTGAAGCGCAATGCCAATACCCCGAGCAGAAGGCTTGAACATGAACTGGAGAGCATTGGCAACTGGGTCAGATATGGCAGGGAATGCACATTTTGCAGGAAATAATGAGCAATGAATGGCCTGGGGGGAGAGAGGGGCTCTTTTAGAATGGTCCGAAAACACATTTCTGGATTGTTGCTGTGTGTTCTGCTGATGGGGCAAGCAGCAGTGAAGCCACCAGTGCAGACAGGTGATGTGGCTTATCAAGCTTTCTGTGATGTACAAGGACACCTCAGTGACAGCTGTCAATCAAATGTAGAACAGTGGTTAAGGACATTTGGTGGATTCTCTCTCAAAACGAAGAGTACATTTATAGGACAGCAATACAGTATTGCATTGTACCCTCTAGTTCACACACAAATACATTACACACACCAGATACCTTTCTGGGGACCTGTCATAATCCCTTGCACTGCAATGGGGTATACAGTGCATTCGGAAATCATAGTGCTTCACTTTTTTCCCCATTTTTTATGTTACAGCCTTATTTCAAAATGGATTAAATAAATGTATTTCCTCAAAATTCTACACACAATATTCCATAATGACAATGTGAAAAAAGATTTTTGGAAATTTTCATGTCATGTCATTTTCATCCGCTTATCCGGGGCCGGGTCGCAGGGGCAGCAGTCTTAGGAGAGAACTCCAAACTTACCCCTCCCCAGACATTTCCTCCAGCTCCTCCACGGGGATCCCAAGGTGTTCCCAATCCAGCCGAGAGACATAGACCCTCCAGCGTGTCCTGGGTCTTCCCCGAGGTCTCCTCCCTGTGGGACCTGCTTGGAATACCTCCCTAGGTAAGCATCCTGGTGGCATCCAAAACAGATGCCCGAGCCACCTCGGTTTGACGTCTCTTGATGTAGAGGAACAGCGGCTCTACTCTGAGCTCCTCCCGGGTGACAGAACTCATCACCCTGTCTATGGGGTGCGCCCTGCCATCTTGCAAAGGAAACTCATTTTGGCCACTTGTATGCAAGATCTTGTCCTTTCAGTCATGATCCAAAGCCTTAGGTGAGAGTAGGAACGTAGATTGACCGGTAAATCGAGAGCTTTAGCTTTCGGCTTAGCTCCTTCTTTACCACAACGGACCGATACATCGACCATATTACTCCTGCCGCTGCACCAATCCACCTATCAATCTCACGTTCCATCCTTCTATCACTCATGAACAAAACCCCAAGATACTTGAACTACTCCACCTGGGGTAAGGACTTTCCTCCAACCTGGAAATGACAAAACACCTTTTTTAAAGTGAAGCACCATGGCCTAAGAATTGGAGGTGCTGATTTTCAACACGAACACAGGGGGAACATGCAAACTCCACACAGAAATACCCAGCCATGGCTCTAACCAGCGACTTTCTTCTTGTGAGGCGAGAACGCTACCCACTGCGCCACCTTGCTGCCTTTATTTTATTTTACTTTTTTGTTTTTCAGCAGAGCAGTGTCTGAAATCCTCAATATTTTTCTAAAGTTTTGACTAAATGTTTTTTTTTCTATTCAGTTTTTCAACCTTTTCAATGCATTTATTTTTTTATTAATTATTTTAGATTTTGACCTATATATATATATATATATATATATATATATATATATATATATATATATATATATATATATATATATATATATATATATATATATATATAAATTTGCATTCTATCCATTCAGTCTGAAGACTTACTCCTTTTTCCCTGTACTTGTCAGGTAGCAATTCTCTGTTTTTCAGCACAAAACGTTTTTTGTCCTTGTAATGTCATGTTGTCGATGTGGATTTACCATTTTATTATCCATCTCCTTTCCCATAATGCAATAGTGAGAAATAATTACACTTTTGAGACACTGGACTGTGGCAGGTACAGACCGCCTGAGCCGCTGTGGAGAATGTGCAGTCCATAAAAGTAGGGAAGGCAGCGAGAATAAATGGAGAAAGAGGCATTCAGTGAAACAATAGGTCATAAAACACGTTTTATAGTCTGCATGTAATATAACGAGCGCTTCTACGGTATCTCTTATCTTTTCTGTTCAACAGCCATGTCCGTTCTACTTTCGCAGCTTAAGGAGGCAGTAGTAATTATTGAAAGCTTTGCGCTTGGTCATGGAAGCAGAATCGCTGTTTGTGACCTGCTGGTCATCGCTCGGATGCGAGTTGAAAAGAACCCAGAACTGTCTCTCTGAGCCCCACCGCTGCATGTATTTATGGGAGTAATTGGGTGGATGCTGTTCACCGTGCGCAGGGTCGCCGCCACCCTTGGGTCCTTTCATTATCACTGAATAAATGCACTGCGAATAATCGGCTTAGCCAATGGCAGACTGGAAAATTGTAACAGCAAGCTTGAAATATTTCTCAGTAAGGGTGTTCTGATGTAAAAAGCTAAATGTCTGGAAATTAGATACACTGCTGAAACGTGATTGAGGCACGTGTTCTCACCTGTGTGCTGGGGTGTTTTGTTTGCTAGTTTATAAGAGACTGACAGATGCACGCTGTGACCAATATGCAAAAATTAACATGAACAGGGAGAAATCTCATCACTTTTTTTTTTCAACAAGTTGCCACTAAAATGGCAAC